TCTCTCTCTCGTTTTAGTTTCATGTTAAAAAAAAGAAGAGAGACCAAAGAGAAACTCCCTTAAGCAAAAAAAGAAAAAAAATCATGATCATTGGATGATATGCACGTATCTTGGGCCATTGATGTAGTGGGTGGCTGACTGGTGTAGGCACTATTCTCATCATTTTAGGACACATGGTGCAAAAGTACTGAAGGTCTTTGATGGCTTGGGTACAAGTGCCTATAGGTAACATGTAGACAGAAGCTATCTCACAGGTAGGGGAAAAGAGATCTCCTGTACATTAAATCTTGTGGATACGTACTTATAAGAGGCAAAAGCAGAGACTGCGAGTCTACACGGCTATTCCCATGCGTTGGGGAATTTCTACATGATTTCCCCGTGGTTGGATGCCTTGGGAAAAAGAGAGATTTCTGTAGTCGAAGGATTTTCTGTAATCCCACATGTTGTTAGGGGAATTTTCAGGAATTTTTTGGCATTTTAAAATAAAATAATTAAGGATATTTGAGAAGAATAAATAAAATCAAATTTATGAATTTTTTATAAAGGAAGGAAATTACAATAATTTTGCAGGTGTTACATTCCCCCCCTCCCAAAATTTGGTTCCCAATTTGAAATTTAATTAAACAACTTAGAGTATAAATCCCACATATCACTCTTGAGATCCCAAGTGGCGTTGCTATAACACTTTGACCATAGGTATCCTTCTGGATCGGAGTACCCTCTCCTGTCTATCTAGGATTCAAAAAAAAACTCTTCATATGATAGATCCAGTCACAATGGGAGTGGTTAATAGGAGATAACGTGAGACAGATCATGGTGGTACTTCTGAAGCATAGAGACATAGAAGACATTGTGGAAATTAGAAAACTTGGATGGTAGAGGGAGACAGTAAGCAACATGATCGATTTGCTCTAGGATTTTAAAAGGTATCATAAACCGATGACTTAACTTTTCTTTATTCCTAAATCTCATAATACCCTTGATCGGGGATAACTTGAGAAATACATGATCTCCCACGACGAATTCTAAGTTTCTCCTCTGGTTGTCAGTATAGCTTTTATGTCGCCTATGTAGTAAGAAGATTATTACGAATGACAAAAACCTTGATTACAATCTCCTATACAAGATCTAGTCCCAAGAGACGCTTCTTTTTAACATCATCCCAACATATGGGGTTGCGGCACGGTCTACCTTACAAAGCTTTAAAGGGAGCCATCTCTATGCTAGAGTGATAACTGTTGTTGTATGCAAATTTTGCCAGGGGTAAGTACTTGTCCAATTACCTCTAAAATCCAACACATAAGCTCTTAGCATGTCCTTAAAGGTCTAAATAATTCTCTCAGATTGGCTATTAGTTTGGGGATGAAAGGCGACACTGAAAGAAAGATTAGTGTAAAAAATGTCCTAAAAACTAGTCCAAAATTTGGAGGTGAAATAGGGGTCTCTGTTTGCCACCACTAAGCCTGGAATACCATACAACCTTACAATCTTTGGTATATATAGTCCTGCAAGCTTGTTGATAGAATCAGTGGTTTTCATGAGTGGACTTAGTCAACCTGTCAACAACAAACTAAATGGCATTATGTCCAGATCTAGTCCAAGGCAAACCTATGATGAAATTTATAGTGACATATTCTCACTTCCATTCTAAAATAAATAGACACTGTATGAAACCACTAGATCTCTAATATTCTACCTTGACTTGCTGACTAGTGAGACATAGTCAACAATATCACATTTCATACCTGGCCACTAGAAGGGGGGTTTATAGATTCCTATACATTTTAGTGCTTCCGGGATAGATGACCAACTTGGAAGAATGTGCTTCTTTTAGAATATCTAGTCTAAGTTCCTGATCATTGGGTACCCACAAACGGTATTAGAATATAAGAATCCTATCATTAGAAACCTAAAAATCTGATTTGATACCCTAATAAATCTTATCCCTCTGATTCCTCACACTAAGATTTGTGAACTGAGCATCCCTGATTTTCTAGATGAGAGTAGGCTAGATTTAGAGATGAGCAAGGTAAGCACCATAACCATGGTGATTCAGATGTATATTCTAAACTATCTTTAGCATATCCCACTCAAAAATCATCATTTGGGCTAGTAAACAAGTGTTATTCCTTTAAGGGAATTAGTTACAGTATTTCCCTTTTTAGGATGATATAGAATCTTACAGTTGTAATCTTTCAGGAGATCCATCCAATACCTTTGTCTCATATTAAGTTCTTTATGGGAAAATATATACTTGAAACTCTTGTAGTTGGTGTAGATCTCAAAAGTCTTACCATACAAATAATATCGCCAAATCTTCAATGCAAAGACAATGGCCACCAGCTCAAGATCATGAGTGGCATAGTTTTGCTCATGGAGCTTTAGCTATCTAGAACCATAAACCACTACCCTACCATGATGCATAAGCACACATCCCAAGTCAAGATGAGACTCGTAATAAAAAACTTGAAAACCACTAATCCTATCAGGAATAATCGATACTGGATGTGTAGTTAATTAATGTATGACTTTAAGAAAACTCTCTTCACATTTGGAATTCTAGATAAACTTTATTTTCATCCTGGTGAGTTAGGTCAAAAGAGTTGTAATACTGGAAAAGCCTTCAACAAAATAGTGATAGTACCTAGCTAAACCCAAAAAACCTCATAAACATTGGTTGGCCTGTTCCAATTAAGTACTGCATGAATCTTTGAGGGATGGACTAACAACATTACTGGATATGATGTGACCACGAAAAATAATTTGGTCCAACTAGAATGTGCATTTACTAAACTTAACATACGATATATACTATCTGAGGTCTTTATAACATGTGCTAGATGGGTAGCATACTCTACATGGTTCTTGGAGTATACCAGTATATTGTCTAGGAAGACAATAACATACTTATCCAGCACGGGCTTCAAGAACTTATTCATGGGATCCATAAAAACAACAGAAACGTTGGTTAGTCTGAAGGGCATACCCAACTAATGATCAGAAAGTCGTATTAAAAACATCATCAACCTTGATCCCCAACTAATGATAACCAGACCAAAGGTCAATCTTGAAAAAGACAAAAACACCTTATAGTTGGTCAAACAAGTCATCAATCCGAGGTAAAGGATACTTGTTCTTTATGGTCACCTGGTTCAGTTCCCTGTAGTCTATACACAATCTAAGGGTTCCAACATTCTTTTCAACAAATAACACTAAAGCACCCCATAGGGATATACTTGGCTTGATGAAACCTTTAGCTAGAAGTCCCAGTAACTGATGGTCTAATTCTTAGAGTTTAGCACAACCCCATTCTGTAGGGAGCTTTGGAGATGGGAGGTATCCCTAGAAATAGGTTGATAGAGAATTTAATCTCTCTTTTAAGAGGCATACCTGAAAGTTCCTTGGGAAAAATATCCGGATAGTCCCTTACTACAAGTATAGTCTACATAGCATTCTCAGTATCCATTTTTGCCCTAACAGAAGAATATATGATCAAAGAGAAAACATATATTTAGAATTATAGAATTACTACATAATTTAGGAATCTATGAAAAACAAGAAACAAAGGTATAACTTTGAATAAAACCAAAATATTCATTCAATTACTAAATAAGTTCGTACATTTTTTTACAAAGAAAGGGGTTTTTCATTGGGGTGGGGTGAAAGTTACCTTCTTATGATAATAATCCAAATTAGCACGACAGCTAGTTAACCAGTCCATACCCAAAATTACATCGAAACCCTAAAAGAGTAAGAGTATAAGGTCTTCTGCTAGTTCTCTACCAACTATTATCACCTGACAAGATTTGTACACTACGTTAGAAACTAGTATGTTCTTGGCCGGTGTTTATACAACTAAAGTGCGATTTAGGGGTACGGGTTTTAGACTTAAACACTTCACAATCTACATGATACAAAATAATGTGTGGCCCCAAAATCAATCAAAGCATGAGCTATAAAATTGAATATAGAAAGCGTACCCTAAATGACAGCTGATGTCACCTCAGTGTCTAACTCATTAAGATTGTAGACCCTTCCTCTAGTAATAGGTCTAGTAGCATCCCTCAACTTCTGGGGCATTCTTAGACAAAATGTTGAGTACTCCCGTACTTGTAGTAGACATTGTTTAGCTTATAGCATGGACAACTACCATGATTCCTACCACAGTGTCGACACACTTGCACAGGGTTAGATTACCTTGGGTAAAAAAAAGAGGAGGAGCAGTTGCGGAGATCAATCTGGGTCTCTTATTAGCACGACCTTGATCTGGTTGCCTCCTCTTCTGATGGTCCTAGACCTTGGCATGATTAATCTGCTTATACCTAACTGCAAGGAGCTCTTCAGCCAGGTGGGTGTTCTCTAGAGTCTTAGCGTAAGTAGTGGGCCTAAACATGACCATTCGGTAAAAGATATCAGCTTTTAGACCCTTCATAATTTTTTGGCCTTCTTGCTTTCGGTAGCAATTAATTTAGGGGCAAAGTGAGATAATTAGAAAAACATGGAAGCATAATGGCTTATCAATATATTACTCTGGTGGAGATCCTGGAGCTCTTCTTCCTTTTTCTCACGGACATACACCGGGAAGAAGTTCTTGTGAAAGACATCTATAAAATGGTCCCTAGTAATAGAAGTAGGCAAGGTCTCTTTCTTAAGTTGCCACTAGTGTTCTGTTTCACCAATGAACATAAAGGCTACAAATGGAACCTTTTATTCCTCAATAAGTTTAAGAATCGTAAAGATTTTCTCTGTCTACATAATCTAATCCTTGACCACCAGCAAAAGAAGGAGGGTTCAACATTTGGAACTCAGAAATGTTGCTAGCAATAGCACAAATAGGATTAAGTTGGTCCTTAGCAAGACGAGGACAATCATTATCGTGAGCACAGTTATGACCCACAATGGCAGTCAAGCCTTGGATGGCTCGGAACAACTTAGTAAACTTTGCTATGGTTGGGGCATAAAAGGCCTTAAGCCTTTCAGTTAGAGGTCTTCCACGACTCATAATTTGCCTACACAAAGAAATAAAAATCTTATTAGCAGAAGACTGACCGAGGGTTACTAGGATTTTATATACCTACAAGAAGTTTTTATCCTTAGTCAATCTATCCTAAAACCTAAGCCTCAAAGTAAGGGATTTCTTAGGAACTTTGCTCTGATACCACTTGTGACATCCTCCCACCCTGTGGGCAACAAGGTCTGGTACAGAAAAAATAGAATGTATTTAAAATAAATTCGAAATATATTCATCCCTTACAAAATACAATAGTGTATAGTGAGACATCAAGATTAACTACTTATAATTAAAAAATAATCATTATAGTAAATCCTACAAAATATAAAATACTAGCCTCACAAAATAAAGCACTCTTATTTCACTAAACTCTTTCTAATCTTGAAACAAATCCAGACAAGCTTCTGGGGACAACCTATTTTGTCATCTAGGAAGGGAGTGGATTGGGGTGAGTTCCATAAAACTCAGTAAGAATAATAATATTATATCAATGCAAATAAAGTTTGAAAAGTTAATTAATGCAATAAGTGAAATCTGACAGTCATCACTTCGAAACAATACTTTACCTATAAGAGACTATTGAAAATTTCATAGTACAATTGCATTTCAATTTAGAAATTGCTGAAAACTTTATAACATTTTCATTTTAAATTCATTATGATAGAATTTTCTGTTTCTACCCTTAACAAATCAATCCAATCCGTCCAGAACGATGGCAATCCAATCTGTACAGTACGATAGCAATCCAATTAATATAGTACCAGTTAATTCAAAACAATTATAATTATTCTATATAGTACATTAATCAATTACCTTCGTATGAAACTGTTTAAGCCTATATCGACAGAGGGCAGATGGGATCCCCAACTACTACTATGAATAAGAAATAGTTGAGTAACAATAACATCAATAACAGTAGCAATAATCTATAGCTATAGTAGTACTTCGCCATAGTGACCCTTAGCAATTAAATCACAAGCCCAACTATTGTTAGAGAGGGATGTTGGTACAGTGCCCAGTCATAGGGTAGGTTTCACCTAGAGTCAATAGACAATAACGGTACAGTACCCCTCTGTGTTAACGGGTAAATAGATTTACAGACTCTTTGTTGGTTAAGTTTTATTTGACTTCATATGTGTTACTATTTGCTTTACGACTTATTTTCTTAAGAACTATGCTAAATATGTTTGTCCATTATTTTCCAAAATTTCCTAAAGGTCTACTTAATCATTTTCCCAAGTTTCCTAAAGGACTATTTAATTATTTCCCTTATATTCTAAAAGTCTATTTAATTATTTCTAAGTTTTAAAAGTTTGTTCATTATTTATCTGCAATATAGCCACAAAAGCCCAATTTATTTCTTAATTAAGGCCCATTGTTCATAAAAATCCATTTAACTCGGCCCACTAGGCCCATTATTCACAAATATCCATTTTTGGTTAATGAAATTAATTAAATTAATCCATTGGGGCCGTTTCGTCTAGGGGAAAATGCTGGAGTGCAAAACCCGTGGAAGGGAAATTTTCCTCACGCACTCGCACAGCCCTCTGAGCTCACAATGCCTGGCAGAATCGCGCGGCACACAGGGGTGTGTTGGATGCTGCAGCGTGCCAAGGGGTGCTATCTCGGCACTTCGGGTGTGCCCAAACAGACCCCGCGCGTGCATGCGACCATCGTCTCGCGTAGCACGGAAGGTGCTAGACTGGGCTCTCTCCATTTATGGTGCTTGACAGATCTCGTGCATCTTCATACGACGTGCTATGCATATGCAGCGGGCTAGGGGATTCTGTCCCAACACTAATGGGCGCCTAGGTTCCTGCTTTCTTTCTCGGTGCTTTAGCGCCCGACAGTCGTGGGCAGAAGTATTTTTTACTTCTCCCATCGTCTCCTTGTGATTTGTACCGTTTATCATTTCTGTGAACACATTTAAATCATCATTAATCATCCATTTTCACTATCAACATAATCCAAATCATCAAAACAACAGAATTTAAATATTAAAGACAAGCATGAACACACACACACACACACACCTTTTCCTAAACCAAAAACGTGGATGCACGACTTACCGAAAGATTTACCTACTAAAAGTTAGAAAACCAATCATTTGTATAAGGGAACACTACCGTTATCCTTACCTTACTGACGAATGCTCCTAAGTCTAGGAAATAACTCCTAATTGCAGAGGGAAAAGCCAGTGCAACATCAACTTGCAGGTCCGCAAATAGAGCTCGTATGAGCTGCTACCTTTCAGGGAAGAAGAAGCTATAAGCACAGAGGGGTTAAAGAAATGGGAAACAAAAATCAGAAAGGAAAGGCTGGAGGGAAGAGTTCTTACTTCATGGAAACAGAATAAGAAAACATCATGATGAAGGACGAGGCTCACCACACACGGTGCTACTTGCCC